GCACTGTTCGTCAGAGTGCGAGGAGCACTCTCGACTAGAGACAAGACTCCACACTCGGACGGTGCGGTGATTCGCACGCGTACGAGGTGGCAGTAGTGGGTTAAGATCAGTTGCTTCCCAAAAAGGAAGGCGGATGGCTAAGTACATGCACGATCTAATCTTATCTACACTAGATGGTTCATAATCTATCGTACTGGACAGGCATAGTGATGCCTATCCGTCACAGGCAGTAGCGTGCTCGACGTCGAAACGAGGCTCAAACATTCCTTTGTATCAGAGAACCTCGATAAGACGGAGGTAACAAGCGGAGTGGGACGAAGTGGTGGGGTTTGGGGGCTGAGCCATCGGTATAGGGAAGAAGGCGGGAGCGGGAAGAGAGGGAAGGGAGGGGGCAGACTAGGAGGGAAGGAGGAGGGGGCACGTGAGCTCGGCTGAAGGGGAATAAGTAGCGGGGCAGAGGGAGCGGGAGAGGACACGTAGGACCCACTCTCGGACGCGGACTAGGATTCGGACTCGGAGGCTCTCAACTTGGGCAAATGGCTCGGAAGGAACTCTCCATATTTTGCTCTCACATACTCTCGTCACATACACCTAATACCACTACCCTTCATTGACTAAAAATCTACCCTTCCTCCATACCCTGTACGGAGGGAGCCGAACTCAAAAGCACACATCATTGTCATCATCATCATAATTCTCCTGAGAAGTGGGTTGGCGACCCGCTTGGTCAGGTCTAGGTGCAGATTGCAACCTAGTGTTGCCTTGCCGTTTCATGTCCGGGCATTTGGGGAACATGAGTTCATCAAACAGAGTGTTTGATGAAGTGTAAAGCACATTATTAGGGCTGCGCATGAATCACGCCCCATGCCCACCAGGGGCAACTCCGAGGTACACCATTAACTCAGATTTCCAAGATAGTGTATTCTGGTGCACATCTTCTGGTATGAATACATATGCTGCACCCAAATATTCTTAGGTGCTTGATGCTGGGAGCCTTGCCATTGAACATCTCATAGGGGGTACGCCATTTGAGACGTCGGACAGGTGTCCTGTTGTAGAGATGAACAGCGTGCTCAACCGCAAATTCCCACCAGGATTCAGGTAGACATGCTTCATGGCGCATGGCCTCAGCTTTGTCCATTATCGTCCTGTTGAGTCGCTCCGCTCTGCCATTCTCCTGAGGAGTGTGCGGCGAACTTTGCAGGATCTGGATACCCTCGTCTTTCAGCATTTTGTCGAACGCTTCAGACTTGTATTCTCCCCCAGCATCTGACATCCACTTCTTAACCTTCTTGCCGTACCGGTTTTTGGCCATGGCTAAGAATTGGCGCGTGGCCGTGATCGCAGCACTCTTGTTGCGCAGATTCACTGTCCACGCATTGGAAGTGTAGTCATCATAGTACAGGATGTAGTACCTATACTTATGGTAGGAGTCGATGGGAAACGACTTCACATCAGAGTGAATCAGCTCGAAGGGCTCTGTCGCTCTCAACGTAGATGGCGGAAATGCTTTGTTATGCATTTTCCCTTCCGTGCATCCTGGGCATATAGGATCCTCCCTAGGGAACTCTATCGAAGGTGGGAAACCCTCGGTGTGTTTCTGTGCTTGCCGTAGTACGTCCTTAGAAGGATGTCCTAGGCGGCGATGCATAGTGTGGTAATCGACGGAATAAACCGTCTGATGGATATTCATTGCGTCCTGTGAAGGCAAGGACTGTATTTCGAATATCGTCGAACTAGGGTGCCGCGGCTTGAACACATATAGTGGTTCACGCGCTCCTTGTTCATAGAGGTCGACATGCTGCGCACCACTGCGCACTGTCATTCCTTCACGGAGGAACGTTCCCATGGATAGGAGACGTTGATGAAGACCTTGGAAGTAATAAACGGGGAATAATCTGGTCGTCGTATGACTACCATCGTCATTCTCGAAGTTCAAGAAGACTGTCCCACGCTTTGTGCATACGGCAGAGCCGTTTGCGGTCGACAAGACGATTGGCTCACTGAGGTCCTCAATCTCAGCAAAATCATCTAAATTGTTGGAAAAATGTAATGATGCTCCAGAGTCCAACATCCAGGAGTCTGACAACTCAACCGGCTCTGGTTCATGCCAAGCCTTAGCTTTTCCCTTACATTTGGTGCACGCAGCGAAATCGCGCAAATGCCGACAACCAACTGATTTGTGCAACGAACTACTGATATATTCATTCGTTACACTGCAACTACGACTGCGAATACTACGTCTCTTTAAAGTAAACCTAGTGCGTCTACTACTACATGCGGCTGTATGAAGCGCAGGGTTAGTAGGTCGCTTGGGAATAGAAGCTGAAGGGACTGACCCAGCATCAAAGTCCTCCCCTAAGCCGGCGGCGTTAGCCAGCTCGTTGTCGATGTCGTACTGACCGTCTGATCCCCAATCAAGTGGATCCTGAGTTGTAGGACCTTCGTCCTCGTCGTACGAGTTGTACGTCCCGTCCATGATCGCGTCGATCGCATGGCCTACTTCAGAACCATGACGAGAGCGTTTGGACGCCCGAGACTCTGACTCCGAGTCGGAGAGGTACTCCTCAATCCGAGCGGAATTGTCAACGACCTCAGACAACGTCGTGAGACGCTGTGAGGTGCCAGAGACGTCGATGTCTTTGGCGAGCTCGAGGGCACTCTTGAGCCACCGGTGAGCATTCTTGCTGTGGCCGGTTTTGGCGGGACGGGTGGTGACGGTGTGAGACTTGCTGCCCGAAGGCGCTATCTCGACGACTTTGGAGGTGGTAGGACCCGCTATTGACGCCTGCGAGGCGAGATGCGCATGGTCCGTATGATCTCCTTGGTTGGCGCGGGACTTAACTTGCTTGCCGCTGCGTTTACCGCGCTGCTTGCCTTTGCCCTTGCCTTGACCTTCCTTCGCACCGCTGCTGCTGCTGCCATCCTGGCGCTGCTGCTGCTGGTTGAAGTTTGGTTTGCCGTGCTTACGCTTAACGGCGGAGATCTTCTTCGCGCTCTGCGAAGATGACGCCTGCTTGCCGCCTTGCTCGTAGGCAATGACGACAGACTCCCGGACGTAGTCGATCTTCATCTCCGTAAGCTCTTTGGCTTGGAGGATCGTGGTGACGACGGTGTCGTACCGGGAGGGCAGCGCATTTAGCGCTATCATCGCCCGCAATGAAGCGGGGATGTCGATCCCTTCGCCCGCAAGCTTGTCAAACGCAGCTGCAATGTTAGCGAACATCGGGTTTGGGTGCTCATTCGGAGGGATCCGAGCATTGATCGCTGTCCTAAACTCCTTGTAAACACCGGCGGGGGTCTGCTTGTCATAGAGCGCCTTCAGCTCGTCCCAGAGGGCCTTGCTGGTCGTCTTATTCTTGACAGCCGCCTTGACGGACGACGTCAGGCGAAGACAGATCGACCCCTGTGCCTTCTGATCGCGCTGCAGCCACTCGTAGTAGACTGAGGGATTCTCTGTGTCCAGAGTAGGCTGGGGCCAGGTCGAATTGACAATGATCCAGACCTCCTGCGCCATGAGGAAGGCTGACATGGATTCAGCCCAGGCGCGGTAGTTGGAGCCATCGAGGATGGGGACAGCGGTGAAGAGGGTGTTGGAGGCCATTGGTAGAGGGTTTGAAGTGATAAACTTGGTAAATGGGGAATACTGACAACGATGTCGTCAGCCCTCTACTCAATGACGAGTGCAGCCTTAGAGGCGCAACCACCGCTATGGTGCATGTGCTGGGGGTAGCAGCAACAGAGTTGCGCTAAGACCTGCAGCAATGTACGCGCATAGTCCCCCCCTGGCTTCAAGCCACTAAGGCGAAGCCACAGGTAAGCTGGTGCGCACACTGAGACGCAGCCAGTGAGGCGCAGTACTCAGGCAGTGACCAGGGCTCATAACCTGTTGAGTAGGCAGCTCCACACAGTGGTGCGCCCTCACAACTTACCTGAAAGGTTGCTGATGCTTGATGCACACGCAAGTACTTCGACTGAAGGTACTGGGGATTGAGCTATGCTACTGGGGTCCTTATATACATGAGGAGACCGCTTATCTAAGCTACTGTATAGTACGTTCCCACGACATACAAGGTAAGTGGCGTAGCCATGTGATAACACACAGATGACATCATAGATGACATCACGGACCCGGAGCTTCCCATAGAACCGGTCCGGCCTGTGATTGAACCCGGCAGCCCGGTAGGTGCCTTCCTAGTTCAACATGGTCGGTTCTATTTGAGCCATCCCTGGGGCCATACAGCCCTGCCCGGCCATGCCAGTTGCTCGCAGAGTTCAGGAATGCTGTCTTCGGGGCTGCTTGTTCTGGCGACGAAGCCCCTCCTGACCTGCAAGTCCAGGGCACTGATACATCACACTGTGCAGTTGTCTTCAAGGACATGCTCGGTCAGGCTGCAGCTGGCCATGATTTCACAGAAATCCTCTCTAAAGATTGTTCATTCTGAGTGTAAGTTGTCCATCAAGTGATTGAACCTCTGCCTGATCATCACTCTTCGAACAGGGTACAGGCTCTTTCAGATGGGCACTCGATTGCAGTATCCTCAGGAGATGGCTTGGACAGACTATCACAATCCTACTCGCTGGCTTCAAACAATATCTGTCGTCATTTTTCACAGCACGACTTGGCGAGAGATCACAAGTTCTCGCCTGTCCTCCCTTGCGAAGCTTTGATCAATCTCGCAGACAACGACTTGCAATTCTTGGAGCAATCACAGGGATATCTCTTGTCAATGGGCTGGCTGTCCCAGGTATTGATGGAGCTTGGCTCATCTACCTCCTGAATGGCTGCGAGTTTGCAGCAATCACAAGGGAGGTCATGGAAGCTTTCCACCCTCGTCTTGCTGCGAAAATCGTTGAGCTAGACAACATGGGCCGAACTGACGACCTCACACCACTCGCACACCATCTTGAGGTCTATGCTGGAATTGATGTGAGTCGTTGTTTGCAGAACTGGTATTTCTGGTGGCGATTCTGACGAAGTGTGCTGCAGGTCGCCCACTATGCAAAATCGGGATGCCAAAAGTCATGCTGCCCTTGCCCCGATTCTGCTGTATCGAGCCTTGCTAGGAAGCGATGCTGTCGTATCACATGCAGACACACGAGCCTTTCTTTTGGGCTTCAACCTGCCCTGTGCAGATGGTCTTACCCTGTCCAAGGTTTGTCAAGCCATGTTACGATCCTTTGTAGCCTTCTGAGGCGAGATGATTGCTTCCAGGCTGCACAGGCATTCACTGGTGGACCGGCTGCTCTCGTCATTGAAAGCTACTCAACACAAATCACTGGGTATGCCATGCTGCAAGACAGCCTTGATATCCTCGTCAAGCACTCGGTTTTGCTGCCAGTTCGTTTGATCCCAACTGCCGACTCAGGTCCCATGAAGCTCGCCGATGTTCTCAGGGGCTTCCTGCAGCGAACTGGGATCCCTTGTTGTGCGTCGTTCGAGAGAAAGCGAGCTGCAGGCCTGTTTGAGTCTGAACTGGTTGAGCTGGGCGAGATTGACTCTCTGAGCTTCCGACCTCGTATGCTTGTGATCGCTGTGACAGGCTCTGATTCGATCGTCAGCAGTGAACCCATCCAGGTTCGTGCATGACATCATCCAAAATTGTGAATATGTTCGCTTACGACCTGTTTGTGTCGTCACTTTTAGATCACCTTTGTCGGTGACAACGACAGCGACTACATCTGTCCTACGAACACTCAGAGGTATTGTCTGGAGCAGGGTATTGTCAGCTGGCAGACTTGCTTCAACTCAGGAACAATCCTGACAGGGTATCTGGCTCTGGTGCCCCTGATGGACCAGCTTTGCTCATCGACGCCATAGATAGCTGGTTGCTCGAGGACATACTGACTGCGATCGCCACCCCCCATGGAGGATTCTATTGATTCCATAGTATGGCTCGCCAGGTTCACATGTATCGCTTTTTCCTGACATAACGACTCATGCCATTTTATGCTTGCATCGCCTCGTACCCACTATTGCCCCTTCCTAATCTGTTCTCCCTACAATATCACTTCATTTCACAGACACTCACTTTTAATATACCATGTTTGCTCTCGGCCGAGTGTGTTCCTCGCCTTCGTTCGGCATGCTAGGAGGAATTTCTATAACATCAGTTCACGAAATAATACGAATGTTGAGGCTGTATTGGCCAAATATGGACTGAACACAAGTTCGTATCGTGCCACCGCCACACCCGAGCTGCCTCTGCCCTCCTTTACTCACCCTCCTACACCTGTCCGGATGTCTCATCTCGCCGCTCGCTCGCGCTGGCAACTCCATCATGTTGACGTTATCGGTCTGCACAAACCTGCAGAACATGCTTGTTCCACGGCAGTGCGTTAACGCCGTGCGCGCGGTGCGTTTGTGTAGCTAGTGCAGACTGGCAACAGCAACAACAGGGAGCCGTCGCGTCTGGCCTGGCTCACCGCTCGGATGTGTCGTGCTCTTGCAGGTCGCGTCTTCGCAGACAGACAAAGCACCAAGAATGTCGCACTCACAGCATGGTCCAACGCTCACGGATGTTTGTTCCACAATTGAGCAGCCACCGACTCCATCCAGCCCCGATATACCTGACATTGTTTGAGACATCCTTCCTCTGACCTAGTGGACGAGTCGCCGTTCACAGAGGAGGAAGATGTGAGTCGCCTGCCAGTGACTCCCATCACAGAGTTGAGCACCGAGTCTGCGACGCCAATCCCGACGTTGCCAAGTTCTGAGTCCATCACACCGACACCGTCGACAATCTCCCTGTGCTCGCCGTGCGTGCTCCGCCCCCACTGCCAACCGGCGTGCTCCGGACCGACGCGTCAGCGCCCCGCAAATGCGATGTGTCGCCCTTCGAACGCGCGCGCCCGCACCCGCCCACGCACATGCATTCCGTGGCTGTGCCCGCTGCCCTCACTCCACCCTTGCACGGCCCTTGCGTGCCCGTCGAACGCACGCACCTACCGCCATCTTTGGCGCGCTCGCACATATGTCCCTTGTCACCGCCTGTCACGCTCGCTCCGCCCTTCGCACGTTCACCCTCGCGCGCCGACCCTCCTCGAACCCCATCTCCATCGCGCCCCGCCTTCCACGGTACCGCCTACGGCTCTGCTCCAGCGAACGGCCTGCAAGTTGCGTATCAAGCTGTGCAAAACCGCACGCTTGGTACCGGTAGCTGCTCCGCGGTATTCAGTTCAAGGCCCGAGGTCGGGCTGCCGTGCCCTCTGAGCGATGACGAGCCCGACGCGTCGGCGCGTACGGTAAGGCCTCGACAGGAGGCCACTCACCCAACTTGGACGGCCGAGGTCCAGCCACAGGTCCGACACACAGGTTGCCTCGATACGTGCAGGAGCAACCGCGGCCGACGGCCCGCGTGCCGCGCACTTGGACAACGCGACTGGCGACTGTGAGACCGTCTCGCAAGACGCGTCAATCAGTCAACCAGCCCCAACGAGCCCATGGAACATCCATCGCAAGGGGACGGGTAGAGAGGTTCGCAGGGAGGAGATGGCACCAGTGAGTACCTTGAACCCCCACCCTCCAGCCTCTCCTCTGCCCTCGTGCTACGCGCGCTTGCCCTCTCCCATTGCTCCTGTCCACGTCAAACGCGCACGCCCGCATCCGCTGTCTCCAGCGCACCCACTCCAGCCATCTCCTGCGCGCTCGTACCCTGCAAACGATGGACAGATGCCGACACTGCCGGCGATCAAGGACTCAGGAGCCGACCACAACCGCGACCATGACCGCCGCGCCGAAGCCTGTGCACCTGCGCCAGGTCGTGAACCTCCCGTGTCGACATCGTCAGCGTCCTCCCAGACGAGTGCGTCTACGCCTGCGTCAGCATCGTCTCCCAGGTCGACGATCCCACCTGCGACGACAAGCGCCCAGCAGCGCGCACGCTCACGGACGATAGAGACGCAGAGGGTTGGCTCAGGACTTGCGAGTCCAGGTTCACTTGGGCTGCCTCGCATCCTGGGTGTAGAGCGGCTGACCCTTCCCGGGCTACCAGATCACGGACTCGGGGCTTCATATACGATCTATGCACTTACTATTGTCATTCAGGTGTCTACATTGAACACCGTCCTCTTCCCGGCGGCATTCCCGGACCACGTGCGGAACTTCGTGTCCAAGCTCGCACCGAACGCACACAAGATCAAGCTGAAGAAGAACGGGATCACGGTGGACAGCATCCACCAGTTCTACCTCGACCGCAAGAGCGGGGAGCACAAGTACACGGTGCTCACGCAATTCTATGAGCTCCCCACAGTCGGGCACAGTATCATCTTCTGTCAGGTGCGTACGCATTGTGGCCCGTGTGAAGTACGAGTACACAGCTAACAGCGCACACACAGCACCGGCACACAGCAGACCAGATCACGCAGCGGATGATGGCGCAGGGGCACAGGGCCACGTCGCTGCACAGCGCGAAGGACACGGCGGAGCGCGACACGATCATCGACTCATTCCGCGAGGGCCGCGAGAAGGTGCTCATCACGACGAGTGTGATCGCGCGTGGGGTCAACATCCTGCAGGTTGAACATGGTTGTTAACTACGGCCTCCCGCTCCTCAACGAGCGCAACAACTGAGGGAACAAGGGCAACTCCCGCCCTGACATCGGGATGCACATCCACTGCATCGGTGAGTGTTGCGTGCGGGCCACTGGCAAAGCTGATGTGGGTAGGATCCTGGCAGGGATCGAATCAACCCTCCTATCGGCCACTCCGCGACGAGCTGTATTTGACAGTACTGTCGAACAAGGGTCGCACCGTCAGCTGCCACCCGCACACAAGCATTCCGAGCCCCGGAGCGACTCGATGCCGCCTGCACGGACACGCACAGCGCTCGAGACGTGTCCATACAGCGGGCACAGTTCGCGCGAGCTGCACTTCGAAGGTACACGCGCTGGGTCACGCGACAAGTGCCCCAACGTTGAATTCATTGGGAAACCCGCGGACGACACGGCGGACGGCCTGGGCGACGCGAGCCGTGTCGAGCATCACGCAACGCGCGTTGGGCGAGACGCTTGCGCAGTGAGCTGCACGGGCGCTAGCGCCGACCTCGCGCTTGACCGCCACCTCCACCTCGGCGATGTCAACGTGCACGTCCACCGCGATGTGCACGGCTATCACAACAGCCCGGACGAAGCCCGAGGCCCTCGCGCAGTCTCCAACGACGCGCGATCTGGGAATGTACCCCGCGGTAGACATGTTGAACAATCTGTTCAACTAGCATGGCCGCGTGGTCTGCTCTCTGCGGAAGACGTGCACTGGACACACCATCTGGGTCGGACACACTCGCTTTGTGCTGGTGAATGGTCAACCGACGTCTCTGGTCGGTATATACCCTCGGGCGACTTCTCTCTGGCATATCTCGACCTCTATGGCACACAGACCCACCTCGGCACTTGGACGGGCCATATCCGAGTCTTCCGCGGCAGAAACTCTCGCATGAAGGGATTCACTGCTCAGACGACCGCCGCCGCGACCACCGTGAAGATCGCGCAGGAAGTGAACACTCAAGACGCTCAATCACCGCCTGGTGTGACTGATCTTTGCGTCCGGCTGCGGCGCATGAAGGTGTTACGCGAAGCGTGACACCTAGAGCACTAGCTCTCAACCTAACCCTAAATGTAGGGACCTTAGGTTCTAATCGTCTTTGGATGGGGAGGATGGTCGAAGACGCTGCTAAGTCCATCTAGCAGGTCGAGCGGGGAGTTTCTGATATCCAAGGAGCTGGTGAAGCTTCAATAGATAACCAGGTTGAACTAAGGTTCAACCGCTACTGTACACAGGTCTTATATGCATGGGGAGTTCAGGGCAGGTCCTGGACGAGTCACAACTACCTAGCCAATAGGAGCGCGGGGGAGTGAGTCATGACGAGTCAGGGACAGAGTCATAAACGATGAGTCAGGTATGAGTAAGAGAGGAGTTACAACGAGTCATACTGAGTCAAAGAGCACGTGAACTGCCCAGGTTGGACCGGAGCAAACAGCGAAGGAGTCCGAAGACTGGGAGCATAGCGTCATGGGGTTGGGCCCATGTTAGGATAGTACAATGCTCGAGTGCAAATACGGGAAAACAAACGTTGACGTAACAGAAGGTACATCGGGTTGGATGGTCAGAGGAGGGCGAGCGAGGCAGCTGGGTGAGGCGAGGACAGGTCGCAAGGGGGAAGTAAGGACGGGCGAGGATAGGGCAGGCGGGGAAGGATGGGCAATGGCAAGCAAGCCCGACGTATGGATGTCACCCGGGTAGCCCAACGGGACACGCAGCACGACAGATTGTCAGTCTGCCACGTGCGCTGCAAACCAGGCAGCAGGACACTTGCAACCTCGCACTAGTCCGCTACCGTCATTACACGACAATGGACGTGCAGGTCCGGGCGCATCAGATCCGGAACGCAGGACTCTGGCGGCCACTTGCACGACCTCACCCTCGTCAACCAACGGCCCTCGATCCTCCAACGGTGATCTGCGCTTGGACGTCAACGGCCCAGCGGTGCAACCGTTCGAATACGTGTGTGGTGCAGCAGACTCTTTGCCCGCCGCACGCGCCGCTGGACAAGCCATGGGCTGCGCTGAGCTCGTGAGATCGGTGTGGTCCGTGGAGGATAGTTTGCGTGCGCGACCTTGACGTGTACTACTCACGGCAGAGCATCGATCTCGTGGTGCTCTCTCCGGCTACAACAGTCTTATCAGCATGCCCTGTGTCATGTCGTAAGTCCCTCCACTCACCTCATTATGGGTGTTGTCTCAACCATGTTCGAAGACATGCATTTATCGACCCCGCAACGCGTGCCGCTCGCGGCCTCCCAGAAAACCTCATCCGTCTTTGTGTTGGTATTGAGGACCCGACGGACCTCATTGACGACTGGCAACACGCCCTACTTGCGGCCTGTGCTATCACGTACGCCGCGGACAACTTCATCCGTCTGCCGAACCCAATCAGCTGTGCGGTCGAGAAGCTCGCATTCAACGAGTTGCACACAAACGCAAGCAGGCCCCGAGAGGACCGAGAGTGGTTCTTCAGCACCCCGGGCAAGGTCATCCTCTTTGGTGAGCACACGGTCGTACACGGTATTGTACACCGTCCTCTCACTCTCCGGTCATTCCGTACTAACTGGCATGCCTACTCACTGCACAGACGGCGATCACAGTGTCGGTAGATCTCCGATGCTACAGGCTCACATTGCCCCGGCACGAAAACAGGCTGTCGCTCTAGCTCACGGACACCGGCGATTACGTCCACGAGTGGGACCTGGACGGCCTTGCTTGGGACACCGTCACGCCGGTGCTCCCGGGCGAGCACCACGCAGACCAGCTCGACCAGAAGCTCATGGAGGCCATCGCTGCCCGCGTGCTCCCACCCTAGTCTGAGATGCCCAAGGGCGCGCACTCCGCTTCCGTCGTGTTCTTGTACCTGTACATAACGATGGCGCACGGCGGCGAGCGGCTATCGTTCAGCTTCACCGCGCGCCCTACGCTGCCGATCAGCGCGGGCCTCGGCCCGTCTGCATCCTACTCTGCGTGCATCGCGACGGCGCTCTTGCTCCCCCACCAGCAGATCAAGATCCCGCCCCTCCTGGCACCAATGCGGCCTGTGGGTGCGGATGACCCAGGGCACCTCCACATGTCGCATCAGGGCCGGCACGCAATATCGCCTGACACCGCGGAGGAGGTGAACCGCTGGGCTTTCGTTGCTGAGAAGGTGCTACATGGGAACCCAAGCAGTGTTGATAATTCGGTGGCAGTCTTTGGCGGGGCGTTGGCGTATACATGGCCTGGGTTCGGGAAGAAGAGCGGGATGGAGCAGATCCAAGGGTGAGTAGTGCGTGCAGGGGATGTGAGGGTGGTGCTGACTCCTTGTCTCTGTTGCCTTTAGCTTCAGGCCGTTGCGCTTCCTGCTTGTGGACTCGAGGGTGCCGCGTGACACGAAGAAGCCCGTAGCGAATGTCGCCATGAAGAAAGCGGAGGTGTGAACTCTCAGAGCTGCTGACGTCACGTAGCTCACGCATTGATCATGGTAGGAACCCGAGGCCGTCAACAAGATTATGGGCGCCATCCAGGCTATCAGCAACGAGGATATCTCCGCGTGTCATTCCTTTGCCTCCATCACCAGCCCCGAGTCTTGTACCCCCCACCCTGACCATGAGTGTCAGCATCATTACATCACGGGGAGATATACCATTGACCAGGTCTACTGTGAAGACTATACTTTCCGAGGCTCCGGGCACCATCCTGACACACGATGTCAGCTGTCTTTTGCAATATCTCAATGACATCGATACTCAATGGGGAGCAGAGAATCGAGAGATGGCACACAACTTAGACAAGACGGCGGACTCGGTTTGCCCTAGGTAACTAGTGTCGGGATGCATCACAACGGAGGCTCGTCCATCGGAAGTAGACTTGGACTGCGAGAAGACGGCAGGGTGCCGGTGCGCAAACACGAAGAGGTCGAAGAGGTTGGCGAGAACGTAGTTGTTACATACAGGCCATCCCTTCACCTTTCCTCGACAATCACGTTTTGAGGGTCACAGCCACCCTCATCTGCCGCTAGCTCTGTGACTTCGCCAGGCAAGTCTTTGTGGGAAACCTACCATCGCCCGAGCGCGCGTCTCTGCACCAGCTCTGCGCACTTGACTCTCTCTCACAGCGATCGTCCACCTTCGTCCACATCCTTCTCTCACGCACCTCAACGGCGGGGCGTGTTACGTCAACATTTGTTTTCCCGTATTTGCACTCGAGCATTGTACTATCCTAACATGGGCCCAACCCCATGACGCTATGCTCCCAGTCTTCGGACTCCTTCGCTGTTTGCTCCGGTCCAACCTGGGCAGTTCACGTGCTCTTTGACTCAGTATGACTCGTTGTAACTCCTCTCTTACTCATACCTGACTCATCGTTTATGACTCTGTCCCTGACTCGTCATGACTCACTCCCCCGCGCTCCTATTGGCTAGGTAGTTGTGACTCGTCCAGGACCTGCCCTGAACTCCCCATGCATATAAGACCTGTGTACAGTAGCGGTTGAACCTTAGTTCAACCTGGTTATCTATTGAAGCTTCACCAGCTCCTTGGATATCAGAAACTCCCCGCTCGACCTGCTAGATGGACTTAGCAGCGTCTTCGACCATCCTCCCCATCCAAAGACGATTAGAACCTAAGGTCCCTACATTTAGGGTTAGGTTGAGAGCTAGTGCTCTAGGTGTCACGCTTCGCGTAACAGGGCATCGCACCAAGCCCAAGCCTGCGGGCTGCGACGAACCTATTTTCACACCAGCTCGCTTGACTGGCACGCCACACGAATGCGACGCGTGCATGTGAATCGCTGAAGACACGCGCGACTTGGTCTACCGATGGCAAAGAATCCATAGGAGGGCAGCCCAGCACGTGTAGCATCAGCAGAGCTGCAGATTGAGTAGAAGAGCAGGGAGGAGAGGAGCAACCATGGTGAGTAGTATCACAGCCTATAAGCCCTTCCCTCCCTCTCGTGTGCACTGCACACGTCCACCCGCATTCGACACCACTGCGGCCTGCGAATATGACCCAATGATTACTAATCTACCTGTGTCCAGCGCGAAGACAGCCGAGACAGGGCCAAACCAGCGTGCAGAGACACGCATGCACGCCCACTCACGGCTCTCCTATCCACGCGCCCACATGCTTGCCCTAGCATAGATCGGAGCACGGCAAGCACGTGGGAAGCCTGGCCTGCACGGTTACTTGTCGTCGTCGCTGGCTGCGACACTCTCGACCCCGTTTTCCCGCTGCCCACCCCGCCGTCAACCGTGCTGGTCTCCTTGTCTTCATCTCAGATGCTCTGACTGCCGGCGACACGCCATGATCATCGTCACCTTTGCCTTCTGGCGCCGCGTTCCTCGCTGCCATCCTTGTTTTCCTCCATGTCCCGCCCTACACCCCCTGCTGTCCCCCGGCCGCCCGTTCTCTCCATCTTCGATGAGCTGCCAAGTCCCCCTCGCTTCCGGACCTCCTTGCTACCCGCCACAGCCAGCGAGCGCCCGATATCACCTGTGAACTCGATGGGTGCGGGCGGGGTGTCCGGGCCAGTGCCCCCAACCCCGTGCCAGGTGGATGCACAACTCGCACAGCCGCATGCACATCTGGACCGCACGATCCTGCAAGATAAGGATCTGGATCTGATTGAGTCTATGCTGTACAGCGGTGGTTTGGACATGAGCGCGCTGCTACGCGGACAATCCCCGCTCTCGATGGCAATGCTCCGCGCTACACCCGCCCCCGCAACGACGCCTCCGCCGCTTCAGCCGCCACCACGACGACGCGGGTACACTATCGGTAGCACCCCTATGGGCGCTGTGGGCATGGCCCACGGTCTACGCACGGAATCGACAACATACGAACACATCAGGGCGAGAAATGGGACGGCGGTACGGCGCAAGGCATCCCCGAGAAGTACGGACTTGGGGAACAGAACACGAACGGGCCGAATACATTCCAACTAAGCCAAGCACATGGTTACAGAAGGTGCTACGGACAACTACATGGGGTCAGTTGAGCGAAGGGCTTGCGTTACGAATGTTCCCTCCGTCCCCGTTCCTTCCGGACCCTCCAGCCTCTCGGTCAGCAGCAGCATTGGCAACGCTACGCGTGAAGCCCATGGGGCGTGGATTGAGAGCCATTGAACCCCTAGACGTGGCGAAGACTAAACGACGAGGAATTCCGGAATAATCGTCCGGAAGGTACAGCCCATGTGACAGCTGGTCTTGAATACCTTGGACCGCGGCGGAGAGCGTGGCTAGCCCACCATCGAGCTGGTCAAGGGTGTCGGTGGTCGAACACTGAGCATCACTAAGAGCTTCCAGCTGGTCGGTGACGATGTCCCATCCGACGGAAGAAGCGTGCTGGTTTGATAAAGCGAGCGGACTGTTGCGATAGGAAATGGCCGGGAGTGGAGCACCTTCCTCAGCAATGCTCTGCTCGGCGAGGACGCGGTTAGGCGACCAGGCAATGACGGGGTATGGCTCCGGGAGAGACGAAGCGTGCTCGGAAGGAAGGGTTGCAAAGACGGTGTCGAGGTACACTATCAGGGCGTGCACGGATGGTGTCTGGCGGACGGAAGGGAGAGAGATATCCCCGGAGGCTACGGCGATGCTACGGGACTCGAACAGCATGCGCTGGAGTACAGTCAGCGTGGGAGACGACGAGTCCTAGGAGAAGGACACACCAACAGCCAATGACTTCCATGGGCCCAGGCCAGCCAGGCAGTCGGATCGTGGGGGAGGAGACGGGGTTCCAAGTCGCATTCGTGTCGAAGGAGCTCGATGAGATGGTAGAAGCGGACGACGTATGGGGATTGCCCAGGGAGGGACATGGTGGGCGGAGGCGGTGAGGGAAGGAGGCTGGGGCTTCACTGGCCAACCGGAAGGAAGGGGGAGTAGGGGAGAGAACGGGGAGAGTCAGGAAGGTTTGAGGGCGTGGGAAGTTGGGGAGGGGAAGGACATGGCGTGCTGGCGCAGGGGAGGAGGACTCACTTACCACTACCACTTCGAGAGCAGACGGTTGGAGGTAACTCCTGTGAACCAGGACAGCTCTGTTTTCTTAGCGGCGTATAAATCTCTCTCTCTCTCTCTCTCTTGCGGGTCTGCGGCGAGCGTGCGTACTGCAAACTCTGCGTATTTGCGTGTCTTTGTGGGAACAGCGGTTCCATCGTTCAGCGGAACAAACATTGGGCAGCATAGCCTAAGCACTCCTCTTGCCCCTTCCTTCCGTGACTACCAATAGTTACGTCGACATCGTCCGACAACGAAACCCGTCGTTTCTACCGACTATCGACCCCTGCTCCCTGCCACCTCACACGGCCCTGGGAGACTCGCAACCTACACAGCGCGCGACCCAGACACGTTGCGGGGAACACATATACGCATGCGAACACAAGCATGGCGGAGAGCTTCGGGCTGCGTGTGGCAGGCATGGGCATGCTATTCACCCCGCATCCGCCCCTGCATCGAGCCTGCGTCCGGGCAGCTCCGGAAAGGGCAAACCACGGACGTCGCTTTTGTTGGTCTCCTCATAGTACGCATCCAACAAACGGCGTGCATCGTCTGCGAAAGGTTCCATGAAATGTGAGTGCTCTCATCCTGTCTTTGATCACATGGCAACGAGGCCTGACTCGGTACCGCAGCCATCACAAGGGCACTGAGAGTGATGCGCAGCCGTGCTTACACCTGAGCGTGTGTCTGGAGCTGAGCGTGTCGAAAGGGCGGTTATGATCGCACTCGGCGAAGTTGATATGGGTGTCTTCCAGGTGCGTGTGCACTCTTCTCTTTATTTGCTGGCAGTCTGTGGCCGCTGATCACACGTCTAATGTGTCAGAACTCTGGCTTATTGTGGCAAGAGCTCGACAAAGCCGGGAAGATGGAATTTGACCTCTTCTGGCGTATGCTCCTCTTGGATGCATACGCGCCCCAGATCACCAGCTCGAACGCCGACCTCTACAACGTACACTAGTACCTGTTGAACTTCAACTGTTTTAGGTGTTATCACACGGGATAGGACTTATCCTTACCCGTTATGGACTTATGTTCTACTATGCTACATATTACGTACATTCTTTTCGGATTTGATCCAGACCTGTAGCACATGATTAGATCTAGACCCTGATGGAACATTCCACCGCTTTCCATCATGTTCCAGCACATTCCTTGATTGCATCGTATTGCATCATTGAGCACATCGCTGTTCCAGTCCTTTCCATGACATTCCATTCATGGTGCAATATCGCCTCATCCTTGTGTATTCGCTCATTGCACCATATCGCTCCGTTATGACTCTACGCTGTTACGCTTACTGTACGATCATGTGATGGCTCTCTCATGTGTATATATACCGGGCTGGATGCGCCCTAGAATGTAACGGTCTCTCCTCTCGTCTTAACGCCTCTGAGTCTTCCCTCTCAGCTCTTAAGAGATCTGTTGTAAGTCCTCCTTTACTACAGTGCTCTTTGTGCTCCTGTAGTATTCTTTTGTAGCCTTGCCTCAGGCTAGCCACACCACTCCTTGTTCATCAGGTTATGAGCCCTGGTCACTGACCAGCTCCCTGTACAGTGCGCACTACTGTTGTTTAAAGTCCTACTTCTTCAAGGAGTAAGTTAGGCACCGTTTGCTGTCCTTTTGGACTGAGTTTGACGTCTCAAGGACACAGTGCCCAAGGCCTTGTCAGAGCGTCT